TATATGTGTATAAGTACATATATATTAGATTGTTTATGTACAGATCATGTCGTCTGCTTGCTTTAAATGATAATTATTAAACAATTTTGAAGTTATAATAATAATTAAGGATTTGCAAAACTAAGTTTATTGATAATGTTTTAATTTGTAAGCTCAGGAAGCTTTTCGATGGCAAACAAGGGTGATTTTTTTATGAATTTCGTGTTTCATGGTACTTATAGGCTGCACTCGCCACGTAGTCTCCTTTTAAGCTTGCCGCTTATATATTATCACTATTATTAGATCTTTTAGTATAGTTTAGTATGTGTTATTTGTTTTGATGTCATAAATTTAATTTGTTGTCAGTTCAATATATATTAAATCATTATTAGTTACGTTTTAACGTTTAGTATAGATTCAGATATGAGATATTTTTTGCAGTAAAAATTAACTTATATGTTGACCCGGATAACCAGCTAGCATCGTACAAAATTTCATCAAAATCCGTCCAGTGGTTTTCTCGTGATGCTTTAACCCAGACAGTCAGACAAAAAGTCTAAAAATCATAGTTTCGGTCTCTGTATCGATAATAATGTTTATTTCAATAAGATTTTCCAAAAAATATTTAATGTACAGATTCGACTCAGAATTTTGTTATATGACAATATTTAAAATAAATTTAAATTACCAATAGATTCACGACTCTTTTGATTGAGAATTGAGAGAAATTGATTGACATGACATTTCCATTTAGGTTTCGATGGTCTTCATCGTAATATGTAATTTTTTTATCCGAATATTTGACATTTTAAATGAAAAAAGAATCGATTTCTGTCACGCTTTTATTTTGTAAAACATAAGGAGCAAAAATACATTAAAAAACCACGATATCGTCCGGAAAGATATTTTGTATTTAGGTATAGGATCAGATTATAATAATAATAATGTCATTCATTAAATGAAAAAGAATTAACTACATCAAAATTAGTTCAGTTAATTTCAGAAATATCATTACAGTGTGAGATGTACGAGTATGTTTTTAAACAGTAGCTTGATTACTACTTTATGAGTTTCTATAACAAATTTCTTATTGTTTGATATAATTCTATTAGTGACTCACCCTCGCTTAGCTTTGGGTTCGTCCCACACAAAAACAAATCTATCCCACGGGAACATTTTTACTGGATAAAAATCTGTATGCTATTCCAGACTATAATTTATATCTTTGCCAAATTTCATCCAGATCCGTTCAGTCGTTCTGGCGTGAACGAGTAAAAAACATCCATCCATCCTCACAAAGTTTTTTTTATAATATTAGTAGTGTAGTTTTAATTTATGATATTATTATGGATTTAAATATAATATTGTAAATATAAATAATTCTCATAAAGCATTTATCATCATATTTTCTATTAATACTTACATAGTTTAAAGTAAAACTAAGTGTGCGATGTTTTTGTTGAAACATCGCAAGGTGTATGATACGTGCGGCATCGCGCGGTGAAATCACAGTAAGTGGGTTGGAGAAAGAATCTCGCGCGACGAGGAGCGTCAGCAGCGACAGTCGTTGAATGTTCATTAAATTTTATATTTATAAATTATTATTTATGTTTGTTAAAAAATTTAATGGTAGCAATTTATTAAATCTGCTATTTAGTTATAGTGCTTGTTGATTTTTTTAAATACAAATAGTTTGTTTTGACTAGATATCACCCGTGGTTTTCCTCGAGTACAAGCCTATATTATTAATCAGTATCAGTATCATAAACTAGCTTCGTGCTAGTTATGGAATTTTAAGAATCAATTTAGTAACTAAAGGCGCCTTCTTATGAACATACAAATAAAACATATATGTTTTTTTATGTTTTCGGCTTTCGCTAAAATTATTAGAAACAAGTTTGTAATTTGTCTTCAAGCAATTGATTTTCTAATTTGTACGTACATACATATGTACATCAAGAACAAAATGAATTATTGCCTCCTCTGAGTATTATTGTAGCTTGTAGTTATTTATTTGCAGTCATAAGTCGTAAATAAGCTTGCAAATAAATTATATAAATAGATTGTCAACGATTAGTTCCATGTCCAAGCGACTAAAGTAATTATCTTGTGGTTGCAAGAGTTCAATTGAGATTTCATAAGTTATCGAAATCAAATGAAAAAGCTAGAAAAATTGTAAAATATAATATAGTTTAGAACTTTATTACTTGTTTCTGTAATTTAGTTTTATATTTAGTACTATTCTCTTTATGTACGAGTGCTTTATTCTCTAAAATCTAAATAAATATTTTATAGTAGGTATCCTATATGTTACATCTATTTAATCATAATCTATCTATGTACAAATTTTACCCAAATCCGTTTAGCGGTTTCTGTGTAAAATAAAAAACATACACACATATCGATTTTGCAATAGAAGTCCGACTATACATATATTTATTTTATTACTAGTATGAGTGTTTTTGCTGACCCTACAAGCGTGCGTGTCGTAGTTTTCTCCGTGTGCCCTGCACCTGTCGCGAAATGGCAGTTTGTTGTGTGTACATTATGGCTATTTTCACATCCGACTTTCTTCCGAGGCGACGCGCGGGAACTACGCTTTGTGAACTGACGATCTCTCACTTCGCACCTTTGTTTGCTAATATCTAATGACCTACTTTAAGGTGAAATTGCTTTTTTACTATTTTATATCTAAAAAAGGTTGTAGAAATAATTAACAGTATATCATTAACAAAAAATCTCCTTTTATTTTACATTAATTTACAATTTACTTAATTTATAAAGAAAACCTCTCGAAAATATAACATTTGTCCATACATTACGTTAAAGGAGCGCACTATGAAACAAATTACTAACAAATTATATAAACGATGTATAATGAAATATTATAAGGCAGTGTTTAATTCATTTAATAGTGCCCTGTAAGTTAATGGACAGAAGGATTTACAACATTATATTTAAAAATAAATACTTAGAGCTATTCACTTAACACTAAAAAGGTACATTATTTACGTCCACAAACGCTGTAGGATACGCTGCGAGTGAAACACTATCTCCAAACTGTAATCTCAATTTCTCCAACATCCAATAAAATACACACTAACAAATAAATGAGCGTTTTATAACTGCGTTTCACAAACGCGCGTTCATCCCACAGTACGCGACATCGCCATTGCAATGCGTAAATACCACGTTTGTAGACGCGTGTTATTTAAATAAATCTGTGTAAATTAGGAATGTAAAGAAAAATTATGCTTGTGATTTGAAAATGATGATATTTATGTTTTGTCATGGTTTTTTTTGTGGAAGAGCAGATTTTTTGTGAAATGATATTATTCGCATTAAAGTATAATTTTATTTCGTTTTGTTATACTATTTTCTAGGCAGAATCGTATTGAATTTTTATTTTCTGAATTGCTTTCTGTTTTTGACATATACTAGCTAGAGTATTCGAATCTAATCGAAATAATATATTTTATCTTTGATAATATATATAATTACATCTAATATTAATCAAAATCCCATTAAAATAACTGTCGCACCGATAACTCCATTTAAAAGTCCGAGCACTTCCAATTACATGTACAAAAATACGTTTTTACCCTGATTTTTTATATATTTCCATAATTGAATTAATGTCGACTTCTATTACTAAATAAATGCCATAGTAATCGACTGACCTTGTTTACAGATCGGGAGTTCGATTCTCGCTCGTGACTTATTTGTTGGGAGCGTATTATTTGGTAGCCCAATTGAATATAACGCGATGTTATTTATTAAAATGCCCTAAATAACGATATTGTGCAAGAGCGGATTGCAGTAATTAGAACATTAGAACATCGGGCTAAGTTTTTCTCTATCCGCTTCCCGGACGCCGCAGTTCCGTTAGCGTGTGAAGGATTTTTCATATTTTTTAAACCGACTTCAAAAAATAGTCAATATTTAAGAATTTCAGAGTAACGTTACCTATATAATAATATTTATCGGACAATTTGTCGTCTCACTGATTATTTGCCCAAATAACAACCAATCAATTTTAATGGTATAAAATACACATTTTACTTCAAAAAAGTCGAAAAAATGTATTTTATTTACATATATTATATCTTAAAATATATTTTTTAATAGAAGGAAAAGGCTCTCCACTCTATAGTATAATAATTATTGCTCGTTTGAACAAATAAGTACTGAGCCGACGAATTGTTATACGAAAATTGTATCTTTGTTATAAAAATATTTCATTTATCAATTAATGAACTTTAAATGATGTGTTGTAAAATTAATTCGACTTTATCACTGTATTATTTAACTTTTTAAATTAATGATGCATGTGAAAAAATTAAGCATTGCCATAAAATTGTTAATCATTTCAGGCATTTAATAATAGAACTAAAATATATTAAGTCGCTGTCTTTGTTAGCCTCGTTTGCTTTGTCACATCATATTATACAAGTACCTAATACATTACAAATCTAAGTAATATCATATTTGACTATAAATAGGTAATCAGAGTAAGCATTCACGCAAACGAGAAATAAGAAATGTTAAATAATGGAAAAATCTCGTTGCCCACAGCTGGGCTTTGCTAGGCGTGAAGAAACAACTGTCATTAACAAACACAAAGTAAAGAAACATTTGAGAATAATAACTACACTAATGTACTGGAATGAACGAGACTTAAACATCGCTAACAAATTATAAACACTATCTACATCGAAATTAAATCTGAAGAACTTAAAACTAGTTAACATTGCACTTGTCCTTAGGAGGAGTGTTAATCTAAAGGGTTATTATAATACGTGAACGCTCTTAACTAAGTTAAAACACGCTGATACATACGAGTACAGAAAATATACAAAGTAGCCTATATGAGATTCTAGAGAGGCGCACACACCGTCCATACAATGAGACAATGCGGCCCTGACCATCTGACCACCTGACCACGAGTCCACTCGATCACACACACTATTATGAGCTAGAGAAATGCTTCATTTGAGCTGGCGATGCAGGATCACGTCTTAGTCCCGCCCGATTCGTTTGTGAATCTGCTGATGCTTGATCAGATGCGCCTTCTGCCTAAACGCCTTCGCGCACACGTCGCATCGGAAGGGCTTCTCCCCCGTGTGAGTGCGGAGATGCACTTTTATATTAGACTTGTTCAGGAATCCTCTATTGCAAATGCCGCAGCGATGGACCGGCTTCTCTTTGCCAAGCAAGCCACTCAGTTCAGCTGAAGTAGCTGATGCAAAGGCCAGTGAACCGTGAAGATTGCTCCCATTGTTCCCTTGCTTTGCCTTGGCTCGACTTCGTTTACTCTTATTTGAAGGAGTGATCGTTGTTGTATGAGCATGAGGGTAACCCAACAGTCTGTCTGGACTGCACAGACCATCCGGTTTCAAGCCGAGAGCATAGTGTTGTGCGTATCGCCCATTAAGCAAGCCACTGACACCATCTGTAGTCGATACAGCGTTTCCGGGAGGCGATGATGTAGATATGACGTCCATGCCGTAACTTGTCGAACTCGGCGCCTCTTGTTTTACAGGAGGACCGTTTTGTAATCTATTCTGGAGTAAGGGCATGTAGCAGCTCTGAGATAGCAATGATTGTAATGTCGTCCCAGCTTGCCCTAAGTTTTTTTGAAGAAACTCTTGTGTTTTTGTAAAATCCTGGCTAGGCTTGCAAGGAAAATCTATACTGGACTGGTGACTTGACTGTGACGGGGGCGGAGAACCAGGAAGACCAAATTCTGATAAGTCTTGTGGCACAATTTTATCGCCGTGCTGACTGTAAGCTCCGGCTATCCACGCATCTATGTCCATCCAGCTATCTCGAGAATCATTTCTTTCAGGATCTTCAGGTTGGGATGGAACCGTCGTATCGGCAATTGCAGATCCGATTATCGCCGCAATGTCTTCAATGGAACTTATAACTGAATCCTGTTTGTTGTTATCATCAAATAGTTTTGATGGCGGCGAACATGACTTAGCGCATGAATCAGCCGCTACAGACGTATCAGAAAATAATTTTGTATCTAAACCATCTAAAGGGAAAGGTTTAACATCTTCTAAGTCTGGAGGTTCAGAATCAGCGGCGCATGTTGATGAAGATACCACATCGTGGTCAGCGCCATATCCACTTTGAGTGGGGTAGTTATTATTTTCTTCTGGAAGACGTTGTGCAATAGCATGGAAATGGTGACCGGAGATGCCATTGATAGAGAGGTGTCCGGTGTACCCAGTGAAAGGGGGCAGAGGTTTGAGTTCAGCTAGGGGCGTGGGGGTGAGAAGAGAGTCGAGGAGCTCGTGGCAAGGGGGTGAGGAACCGTCCAGCTTGGGATCGAGCCAGCAGGGGCTGAGCAGGAGCTCGTCGCCGCCAGGCCCGCCGCCCGCCACGCCCGTGCACTTCATCCCGCGCCTCACCGCGACGCCTGATCCAAGAGACACCCCGCCACCGCCATACTTAGACGCCGCCACCCTACCGCGATGTCTGGAAACAAAAAGTATGTGTTGTAATTTATGTAGGTTACTCGAATACGAAATCGAGATATCGATAAATAATCGTTTCCATTTTGCCGGCGCGCGCCGCTCCGCTTCACTAGCTATCGGTGTTGCTACGATAGTGACTATTTTTATTTCATTCGCATACTAGCCGCTTTACGTTGTTCCCTTGCAAAATAGTACAATTTTACAATTCATATTTTGTCATAGAATAATTTTAACAGTGAAATGAGAAAAGGTGTCGGCTTTGTGATGTCTAGTAATAATTGTTGAATTTGGGAGATTTATAAAAAAATGAGTGATTAAATTAGAAATGTAATGATCAAGATCATATAGCTAATGATCTAATTAAGCAGGAAGCCGACGATGACGGGCGGATAGCATTATGCGCGATGCATTCAGCGATCAAATTAATATCTAAACATGCACAATTAGACGAGTTAGTCGAGTTAGCTGACCGTGTTCTTTGCAACGCAAAACTACAATGAATTCATATTACCTACGAGTAGTATGAAACGTTGTATTTTATTATAAATTATGTAAAACTTAGTATGAAGTGCACGTACACTTAGAAATAATCTAGAGTTATTTAGAAATAAAATAAGTTACCACATCATGCTACCTAAGATGCAGTATTATATTTTATAGCTGCATAGTGACCACTCTTTCATTAACCATTCTTATGAATTCAAATTGAAAAAATCCTGTTTATCCTTATCTTGTTAACTTTAAGTGCAGCTTCAGACTCGACTATCCTATCCTACTGATGTTATTAACACGAAAATTTGTGGGGATGGATGGATGGATGCTTGTTACTTAACAGATTTTGATGTAACTTCACAATGATATAACTTATACATTAGAATAATATTTAGGGTATAATTTTTAAAAATAGTAAAACCTAATATTTTCTTAGATTTACGCGAATATTTGACATTTTAAATAAAACTACCTTTTCGGGTTATTTCGCGGATTTATTTTGACAAATTTTGAAAATTTAATTAAAATACACCTGCATTGAACATATGTACTAAAACGCTAGTTAATGGAAAAGGCGAAAATTAAGTAGTATATATATAACTAGATCTTTTTGCATACCGCCGAGGAAGATGTAAATAAAAAACGTCCATCCATCCATCCCCATAAAATGTCATGTTGATAATATTAGTAGGATACGATAGAATTGCTTTCACACAAAGGCGAACGAAAATTAATTTTATATCTAATATAAAATGAGTTACCAACAACAAAATGCAGTCTCTATCCGTTTGATCCGTATCCAATAATGTAATAATATCACTAAAATATGACTCCATAGTCTGCCCAAAGAACTTTAGTCAATTATTTATTTGTAATAAGACTATAAAAAAATATTTTGTGAATATAATACAAAACAAATTTTCAATTTCAACGTAACGTAATGTCCATTTCTTTGGAGTTAATAGATATTGCTCAGTCCCCACTGTACGTAGGCAACACGCACAATGTTTCCAAACTGCAATCGTTGCACGCAATAATTTGCAAGAATTTAGTAAAAAATCAACTCGATTATTATTAAGATTTGTCTCGGCTTGAACTGGCCTTGTGGTGTTTTTCGTAAAACAGTTCATAAACGATTGCGCGGGTCATTGGCCCGTAGCGATTGCCGTAATTTAAAAAAAAAACTATTATTTCTATGGAACGTGCCTCTACTTAAAATTTAGGTGACAAATATCTTGATGGCTTGTTAATTTTAGTGTCAATTTCATTTCTGAATTTTTATGCGAGTCAATTAATGTATTTTGCGTGGTTCAGAGATGTATTTGTAAAAATTATAGTGGAGGAATTGTGGAGTATTTTATTTAATTAACATTACAAGAAATTCTAGAAATGTTACATTAATGTAAACATTTATCTGTACTAATGTTATAAAGAGGCAGAATTTGTTTGTTTGTTCGTTTGATTGTTTTTTTGTACTAATCTCAGAAACTGCTTAATCCGATTTGAAAAATTCTTTTTGCATAAGATAGCCTGTTCATTGAGGAAGACTATAGGTTATATATCATATACTACGTAGTCTATCTATTTCATACCAACCATTAATACGTAATAATACGTTTAAATATATGTAAAGATTTTTTTTTCATAATAAGCATATTATGTTTATCCACAACGTTTAAATATTTTATACTATTAATAAGCGATATTGTTATAAAAGAATTTATTTGTATTTTTCAAGAAAATATAATATACAATAAGTATTAGATATTTATAGAAACTTAGTTGGTTTTAGGATTACTTTTATATTCCTTGTACTGTAATTATTTATTGTATTATTTGTTTCCATTAAAAAGCAAATAAATAAATAATAATATTTTCATTAATAAAGAAGATATATTGTTATCATTCTCCACTAGATGGCGTTCAATAGTCCGGAAAAATATACAAACGAGAGGTGTTTTTTGACAAATTATTCTTTAGTAAAATAGTATCCTACTAATATTATAAATGCGAAAGTTTGTAAGGATGTATAGATGTATGGATGTTTGTTACTCTTTCACGCCAAAACAACTGAATGTATTTTAATTAAACTTTACAATAATATAGTTCATATGTTAGAATAAGTCATAGGCTACTTTTTATCCCGGAAAATGTACGGTTCCCGTGGGATAGATTTGTTTTTGTATTTCTAGATGCGAACCCAAGCGGAGCAAGTGTGAGCCGCTAGTGTAAATATAAAATAAATAAAAAACACCTGAAATTGACTAATAATAAAATGATTATACGTAAATAAAATCACTGGTAAGGCGAAAGTAAGATGAATTTAATCTCAAGCGCCGATATCAATAATCGATGATGTTCCGAATTTATGGGAAAGTCTCTGTCGCATTATCTGCTCTGATGGGTAGAAGTGAAAGTTTTAGCGTCTCGGCAAACAATCTAGTGTCGCAGAAGTTTTAACCTACTTCATTTATACAACTAAAAAATCATACATGCATATTAGTTTGAGCCCGCAGCTTTGCTCACGTGATAGCTCACGGGATAAAGTACCCTATATATGTCATTTCCAAGATACAAAAAGTTACGCATTTAAATTACATCTGTTCTATCATTATAATGTGAAAAAGAACAAACATACAAACTTTCGTATTTATAATACAAAAGTAACAAAAATACAGACATATTTATAATAAAAATGAAAAACTAAAAGCTATAACCATAAAGTTGAAGAGTTTTTTACCCGACAGCACCAGAAGGAGGTTATTTATATTATTACATACAATATTGTATAAAATTTTGTCGCGTAATGCCACTCACACTAGCCGCGATCCCGTTGAAATCTTTTATTAATCTTATCGTAACGCCTCGAAAGAGCAATGCGGTCGTACTGAGTCTAATTCATAAATTTAATTCTAATCAAAAGAGCATATTATAGATAAATATCTAAATCAACTTATTTGAATCGTCCATATATTAATCACATACCGTTACTAATTAGATATCGATTTAATTATAGCTACATACACTAAAAATGTATTTTTTATCGTTTTATATTTAGTAGTTCATGTAAATATCATACAAAATTCTATACGTACTTGGTTTTTAAAATTGCCTTATTGCAAAGCTATTTTTGAAAATTAATTTGTTTTTTTTTCAATATTTTTTGTCCCATATATGATCCTAGCCTTGAGGTAGGTTACAGCTAAACTGAGTGCGCCATTATAATGAATCAGCACCGTGAAAATCGAAAACTCTACCATTCACATTCAATTTGCAATCTTATCACTTTCGGTCAAGGTTGCATTTTCCATACATTCCGCCGCACTTACGACCTTCCAACATCGGAGCTGAGTTTACGCTACTGACATACTTCCGTGTGGATACCGTTAGTCGGCCCTGTTTTTCTGTCTCTTACACTCTCGTTTGTTTTACGTTTATGTTATTCGCTGTCTCGATCTTTGGGCGACAAATTTTCGATGCGGGAGTGTGGGTTGGCCCAAAAATTAAAATCGTGATAGGATTTTTTTAAAGCAGTTGGCATATTTCTTAAGGTAACGCTGAGAATATTTGAGCTCACGCGTGTTGTATATGTATGGCGAAGAATGTTCTTTTTATGAATATATTTTCTTTTTTTTGTGGCACTAGAGATTAAATACACAGAAGAATTATTAAATTAAAAAAATGTCGGTTTCATTATATGGATAAAAATTAGAATATTTACATTTTCAACAATTTTATACAAACGTAAGCGTTACGAAGTGACGGTGAATTTTCTGGCAAATTTTTTTTGGCGCGCTCTACGAGAGAGACGTTTTACTGTAAAGCTACTTGATTTTCTGGTCACACGTGAGTGACTTTTGTTAAGTTGTCGTGATCTTCACTTTAAAAGCTTACAATATTTAAGTGGTATAAAGTTTTATATTTAAATATGTGATCTTGATAAATATGTGAAACTAGCGACTCACCCTCGCTTCGTTCGGGTTCGTCCTTAGGCACGTTTTAATGGTAAGTATATCTATATATCGCACTGGAACCGTACATTTTTTCGGAATAAAAAGTACCTATGTGCTATAACCAGACAATAAAATAAAAATATGCTAAATTTCATCCAGATTCGTTCAGCCGTTCTGGCGTGATTGAGTAACAAACATCCATCCATCTAAACCTTCGCATTTATAATATTTATGGGACAACTAGAGCTAAAATTAGTAATTTTTCCATAACAAGATAAAATATTCATATCATTGTATGCGTTTACATATTTTTATTACCTATGTTTATTGGTAACTCGATCCTACTGAAATTATACCTAAAGTATTTACTATGCAAATTATTATTAAAGTCATTAGTAGAGCAGGTTGTAACGTTAGAATTTAAAGAATTTATGTATTTAAGATGACATTTGAATGGTGACGGTACGTCTGGTTTTCATTAACCGTTAGATAAATATCTGCTAAAATACAAATTTAAACACTAATTAGCCAAAACGTGTTTCAAAAATATCTTTATATAAATAAAGAAAAAGGCTCGCAAATACAAAATTTAGTTAACAGTTAATTTAACTAGAGTCTCTACATTTTGTGTAGAGTTTAAATAAAATTAATATAAATTACCTTAATTAAATCCAAGGCACATAAAGCTGTCAGTTAAAAGCACGAATAAAACTTCATTCCCAAACACTAGCACTACTAAGCTCTACTGTCACTCAACACCGTTTGAAGGAGAGTCCATATTTTGCATTGCCAAGTAATCCCAAAAACAATAGATCACTAATAAAATGCTGTGTTTCACGGGAAAATAACCCTTATAGCGAGACTTGTAAAAACTAGAGTGTGAGGACTTAGATGTCGGCATCTGTGATCCTAATTGCCTAATATAAAATAACCGTTAGGGCTAAAATAATTTTGCTACCTAGGGTTTATTGACGCATATTTTAACGGAACAAATATTTTAATTCAAGATATTTTAGCTAGCAGGTAAAGTATAACGGCATTTTTAGTTTACAGTTCACACAATTAGAGTTGTACGCATTTTTCATAATAATTTTTATTTGTATTGTAATTTGTAACCGAAGTCGCAACCTTCGATACACAAGCTTGAGCGATAACTGAAAGAATTTAGCGTTTCTTTTAATATATTTCTTTCGAAACTATGTCCTGCTTTTTCAACTACGTTTCACTAGGGACGAAGCCGAAGCAAAGCGAGGGTGAGTCGCGAGTAATTCGCTATTAGCTAAAAAAGAAATATATCCCACGGGAACCGTATATTTTTCCGGGATAGAAAGTAGCTTATTTGTTATTCCATATTATAATCAATGTCTGTGCCAAATTTCATCCAGATCCGTTCAGTCGTTCTCACAAACTTTCAATGGATTTTCATTTAAAATGTATTGAATTTTCAATATATATATGTGAATTATTCAAAGTGCCACTACAATTTTGCTCTATTTAACTAATAATTGTTTAAAATTAATATAATGGCCATATTTAGATATAAACTTTAGAAATTAAATAAATTCATTATTTTACGAACGTAACAAAGTCGGTTAAAACAGATTTGAGTAACAACATACGGTTATTCTTATCGGGGTTTTAAATAGACGTAAAGGTATATACCATAACAGTAACAGAGCGTCAATAAAACAATATAATATTTGAAAGTCAGGACTTTCGGCAACTTCAAAAACGTTAGAAAAACTACCCTTTAAAGAGATTAGCTTATTTGCATAAAGTCAAAGCAAAGTATAAACAATAGATCGGCTCCTGTGTTGAAGTAAATATATACCGTTACGAATGTGCTTGAAAATGGGTAAAATTCTTGATTAGATGTAATATAATATATATGAATATAAAGTTATATATGTGTATGTGTGTAGTGTATCAACTATCTGGTTTCTATAACATAAGCTTCGTAGCTTACCATGGAATTAGATGGTGTCGTGTGTTAATGCCTCAACATATTTAGTATTTATTATTGCTAAAATATTCTATTAAATATCAATATTATAATATGTTAAACAAGACCTTAAGAAGTTATACACACATATTTAAATGCATATGAATCCATCAAATATTATAAACATTAAAATGTGTGTGTTTGTCATTTTTTCACGACGAAACAGAGTGACGGATAGGCGTGTTTTTTTAAGATAGTTCAGAGAGCTGGAGAGTGACATAGGATTTTTACCGCATGAGATTATCTTAATCCCAGAGGAAAACACGTTAAACTTAATAAATTTACTTTTAAGCAATAATTTCTTAGCAAATCTTGTATTAAATGTCAAAAATTTGTTCTTTTTAATTTATTAAAGACTAACGACTTATCCTCCCTTCGCGCGAATGCGTCCCTAGGAGTCTTTTTGTCATGCATTGTATAGCTTTATTTTAAATACATAGTTTAAACAGCGCACGGCGATTAAAACAATTACCTGCCACTTCTCTTCCAAAATTCAATTAAAATTACTTAATTTTTGACAGTAAATTAATTTTTATGGGAATAAAAAATAGCCAATAACACTCGGCAGTAGCGTAGCTGAATATTAGTGAAAGATTTTCCAGAATCAGATCAGTAGTAGAAATTACCTATGTAATATTAGTGTAGGCTTATCACAAACGACATTTGATTCTTAACTTAGTGGTTCAGGAACTAGTCGAGAATGTAACGCAATGGATGGCCAATATAAACAAACGTAATGCATGAACGGTGTTTAGCTTTAGTTTAATTCGTTCCATGCATGCGTATGCAAATTAGGGTCCGTTGTGCGGCCTTGGCGAGGACCCATTCATTACCATAAAAATAACATTACTTGTAAACTAATTGTAAAAGTCGAAACTGTCATTGGCAAGACAATCGATGAGATTTATTGCACTCCATACATTTTTCAGATGAATATCTATCTTTTTTAATAGCGACTCACTCTTGCTTCGCTCGGGTGCGTCCCTAGATTGATTCTCCATACAAACTTTCATCCGCATTTTCACCCCTTTAAGGGAAAATTTCCGGGATATCTATATATATGTATATCCTATGTCCTTCCCAGGATCTCAAAGTATCTTTTTACCAAATTTTATTTAAATTGGTAGTTTCGGAGCTTATTCAGTACAAACAACCAAACAAAAAATCTTACCTCTTTATAATATGTATTAGTATACATTAAAGTTTAATCGAAGTTTTTTTTTATGAAAATTTCCGTGTAATAGAAATTTTATTGTAGGTACTTATATGTACTACTAATAAGAATTAAAATAAATAAACACGATAAATAAACTAATTGATATTTTATTCATTGTTTATATCAAAATTATGTTTACAGAAGATAAATCTACATAAATATGTTAAGAAGTAAACTGATTACGCCCAAAAGAAGATAATATGATTAATCCCATTATAATATTATAAGTGCGAAAGTTTTGATGGATGGCTGTTTGTTACTCAATTACGTCAGAACGGCTAAACGCATCTTAATGGACACAGATACAGATTACAGTAAAAAATAGCACATAGGTTATTTTTCATCCCGAAAAAATGTACGGTTCCCGTGGAATAGATTTGTTGTTGTTTAGGTGGGTCGCTAGTATTAAATAAACAAACTATTACTTTTGAAAAAGATAATAATCTATGAAAGAAACCGACATCCATAGAAATATAAATAGAAAAAATGCTTCCCAAATGCATAATAACCAAAAAAAGCGGTGTGAGCGGTCATCGTCCTTTTTTTACGGGATTACCCTGGAATAACGGGACGGGTTGTCGACCTCGGGACCTTGGGGATCCTACTGTACCATTGAGATTGAAAAAAAGAACTTGTTGTTGTGTTTTTTGTGGTCAGATTGGTAATTCAAATTGTGTGATTTGTTAACGTTTTGTAGTAATTTGTGCGTATGGTTTCGTCTAATCTTATCAAGTAGTTTGTAAAGATGCAATTTTTTTATCAGTAATATTATTATCCTTGGAACTAAGAAATTTCTTATTTTGCTATATATATTTATATGTAAATTATAGTAAAAAATAGATAAATACAAAAAAAATGAAACATCCCAAGAGCCATTAGTTCAAGCCAATATTTTTCAGCCAGAATTTTATTTAAAATCTATACTTATAATAAAATTGCAACTGATCGCTGCCTGTTACATGGAAGATAAATTTAAGAAAAACGATTATTGGGGTCTTTATTAACGCAATAGAGCCCAAAACAATGATTTTTAGAATTTTTGTCTGTTTATCGGTTTGTCTGTTCGTCTGTGCCTTTGTGCGCGCTAATCTGAGAATGTATTGTAGTAAGCGCCACTTAACATTTAGTATTTGTTTTAATTCAATCGGTTATGTCAATTTAAAGGAATTAT